ATGCACATCAGACGATTGCTGCGTCCTATAACGACGACGCAGCAGCACGCGCACATGAGCGTTTTGCACAAAGCCCCCGACACTTTTCACCCAATCAACCTCCTCTTTCTCCTGCCTCTCCCGCCACAGCCACCTCCTCCTCCTCCTCCTCCTCCTCCTCCTCCTCCTCCTCCTCCACTCCTGCTCGTTACCACTTCGCTAACGTCCCATCCTTCTCCGCACGGAAAGTTGGTGATTCTGTTTTCATAGCTAATATTCAGCTGAGTTCGTCTTCTGTACTCATCAGCTGACTTGGTGTATTAAAGTCAGCTGATGACAGAGGTGGAGTAAGGGAGGAGGGAGGACAATGGCAGTGGCGTCAAGCTCGGAGACCTCGCGTGCAAGACTCAGGAGCCGTTGCAAATGATTGTCTTTTGTTAAACTCTTTTGCTCAACAACTGCTCTGCGATCATCATCATCATCATCATCATCATCTGCAGGCGACCATCTTGACTGAATCATCAGAATGGCTTCGGCTCGCATGTTCCCAGTTGTTCTATTTGGGTTTCTGCCACCTTTGTGAAGGGATTAAGGTTGGGAAGATATTCCTTTGTTGGCTTCCCCCGAAGGAGTTTTGGACGCAAGATATTCCTGTTTTGGGTTCCCACGAAGGACTTTTGGGCGCGGGCCCTTAGGAAGTTTGAGAGCTGAGATGTCACAAAAATAGATGTCATTGACTTGTTGTGTTTCTATCTTCAATATCGATGCTCAGCATCTCTTCCGCTGCTCATGTCTGCGAGGTAAAGATTCGCACGGTGGTCACCGTGGCGCTTTTGATGCGTGATTGAGTAGCGATTGAAGAGAAAAAAGGGGGGATAGGTCATGTATATATATATATATCGAGTGTAGTCTGCCAATGGTGTAGAAGGCTGTAGTCGCAAGATGACCTCTCTTTCGATCTTCACTCTATGATAAACGTCGCTTCCGCTACTCATGTCTAGGAGCGAAAGATTCGAAAGATGTTGGTATAGATGCATGTTTGAGTTAAGTTGAGTAGAGATTAGAAAAGAAAAGGGGATGGTCATGTATATATATATATAGTTCTATTTGACGATATATATATATATAGAGAGAGAGAGAGTCTGGCTTTTGTTCATGGTGTAGAAGGCTGCAAGTCGCAAGCTGAATTCTTTTGTGTTTCTATCTTCGCTCGATGATCAGCGTCGGTTCCGCTGCTCGCGTCTCTGAGCTCAAGATTCGTAAGATGTTGCTTGAGACGTGTGCCTAAGTAGAGATTTTTCCAAAAAGGGATGGTAGTGTATGGATAGAAATTGAGTCTTCGGCGCAACAAAAAAAGAAAAAAGAAAAAAGAAAGAAAGAAAGAAAGAAAGATAGAATGAGTGTCGACTGACAATGGTGTAGAGGGTTATTCTTAGCTGACGCTACCCAGTGGTCCGGCACTGCTGCCTAACCTTTGTTGGAATGTGCTGTTTTTGGTGCTCCTTTGGACTGTAGCTCTCACAATAAACTGCCGTTTCTGCACTTAACTTCTTCTCTCTCTCTCTCTCTCTCTCTCTCTCTCTCTCTCTCTCTCTCTCTCTCTCTCTCTCTCTCTCTCTCACAG